CTCCTAGCAAGTACTTAGGACTATAAAAACCCATGCAATCCTTCATCAACAATATTGAGAGACCAATAAATGGAAATCACTGGAATAATTAATTATGGTTATTAAACAGAAGCTAATTCCAACACTTAGAGCATGGTCAGATAAAAGAATAAAGCAGATAGTAAAGAATAAATCCAAGTAGAAAGGAGAAAATATGAACAAACCAGAGAAGCCATCTCCAAGCATATGGTGGTATTCTCCTGGTGCTTAACTACTGCTGACATTTTAACTTTCCTTCTGTAATTTAAGGACCTTTAGAATTCATAATTATTATTCAAATTCTCTGCTCCAGAAGTACTACATGAGTCCACCAAGAGCACTCATGTTAATCCTGACTATATAAGCCAAGGTCTGCACTGGCCCTTCATACACCCAATTAAACAGAAACCTGTGTGCTGTGTGCACATTGCATTCATCCCTGGTCCACCCTGGCTTTTACTGATGGAGCTGGTAGCTCCTGCAGCACTCCTGAGCTTCCCAGGCTCTCCTGTCACCACGTACTTCTGGAAGTCCAACTAAGGATGGAACACATCCTACTTTTAAGCACCAAACACAGAGCTCCTTGACAATAATACATCAGCTACCAAGAGCATCCCTTAGATACAGAGGAATTAATCAGACTTTAACATTAACTTTGCATCAGGATTGTGGAAGCTTCACAGGGAACAGGGCAGCACATTCTGGTGACTGGTAAAGATTTTTAGAAGTGCTTTGAATTTGCAGCGAATATTTCACAGTGGCAAACACATTTTATAGAGATTAATGAAGGAATTAGTTAATTATACCAGAGATGCTCCTGCTTTAACAGGATCCAACCACAGGGTGACAGCATGTCTAGAAAAGTAGAATGCTAAAAAGTTTCTATTACTTTAAATATGTGATTCCCAAGGAAATATATATCCTATTTCCATAATGGAGACTGGAAAGTGTGGCTAGAGCACTTTCATCTCATTTCCATAAAGTATCTCGAATGAACAAGAAGTACCTATCCCAGAATATACATATTTCAGAAAAATTAAGGAGGAAAAATGATGTCTTAGATCAAGCTTCCCTAAGGCAGCTTCAAATGGAGAAATACAGACTTATTCAGCAAATTATGGAGGTGGAATATTATCTATACTGCAATACTAGTGATTATTAAGGATTTGCTCAGAGGCCAGGCTCTCACTCCCCTTTGAAATTCTAGGGTATTATGGGAAAAAAAAGCAGGCTTCCTCAACAATTAACCTTTTCCCATATGGATGAAAAATAAATGACTCATTGCCCATGTAAATTCTCAGCTGCTGCCATAACGTCTTTGGTTAAAATAACTTGGAGGAATCAACATCACTCTGCTCTCATCGGATGTCCTCATGAGCTGAAAAGCTTGGAAGGAAGCTTCACAGAATCACCAACTGGGTGAGGTTGGCAGTAACCTCTGGAGCTCATCTGGGCCAGCTCCCAGGACCTGTCTGGTTGGGTTCAGGGTATCTCCGAGAATGAAGAGTGCATCACCTCTCTGAACATCCTCACCATGAACAAAAGTTTCTGGATGTTCAGAGGGACCCTCCTGTGCTTCATTAGAATTGACTTCCTAAGTTTTATTCAGTGATATTTAGTAATAAAAACTAAACTAATTTCCTCACTAAATAACAGAAAAGCTACCATGGAAAATAGAAAATTAGATCATTATTAACAACACAGTAGGGAAAAAAAGACCATTTAGTTACTGTTTGTACCAACCTTAAGCTTAAAGACCACAACCCGTATTGCACTGAAAACACCAACACATTCTGCAAGGCAGAAATGATGGATAAAGTTCTCAAATTCCAGTGGAAAGGAAGTTAGTAAAATTACGTTTGTGGACAGCAAGCTGGTGCTTAGGAAAATAGAAATTCATGAGATACAACTGACTGCAATTTGCCACATAAAGCCGGGATGAAGAAGTTTCCAAAGGCTTTTAAGAGCTCAGAGGTTCATGAGGCTGTGAAATTCATGAGGAATTTGCATTCCTATCCATTCACAGATTTATTTACTACTGGCTTCTTTCCTCCGGCATGGAAATGAATGGGTTTGAAAACAGAGTCCTGAAGTTAGACTTTTCTGTAAGAAATGAGGTTTAGAGGCAAAAAACCCTACTCCCAGATTAATTTTTTACGCTATTTAATATTTCAAAATGATGTGAAATCATCTCAGCCTCAATATTATGTTTTATTTGGGTACTTAATTACCTGCAGTTTGGTTTAGAGACTGTTCAGCTGTGTGGGGTCAAGCAAATGCTTCAACTCCCGTCTGCATGGGGTAACAGCAATGGCAGAAAGGATTTGTCCCTTCTCTTCCGTGCTAAAAGGCAGCTTGTATGCAGCCAGAAAACCCAGTCGATCTCCGGGAACTGAATGCTGAATGATTGAGTTCCTGTGGTGTCCCCAGGTCACTCAAAAGTACAAAGTTCTTCTCACCAGCCAAAGGCAAAGAGAAAGGGCTGGGAACTGCCTGAGGAGCCGACCAGCAGCTCCCAGTCCTTGTCTTGTTCTGGCTGGCAAAAAATCACTTTGAATTATTTCAGCCAGTGTTTTCCAAGCTGCTGGTATCATCCTGCTGATAACGGAACCACAGAATCCCAGCTGGGTTTGGGTTGAAGGGAGCTTAGAGCTCCTCCAGCTCCAACCCCTGCCACGGGCAGGGACACCTTCCACTAGAGCAGGTTGCTCCAAGCCCCTGTGTCCAACCTGGCCTTGAACACTGCCAGGGATGGGGCAGCCCCAGCTTCTCTGGGCACCCTGTGCCAGCGCCTCAGCACCCTCACAGGGAAGAGCTTCTGCCTCAGAGCTCATCTCAGTCTCCCCTCTGGCAGCTTGAAGTCATTGCCCTTTCAATACTAACAATCCTTTGGACTTCTGGCAGTCCAAAGTCTGGACGTGCTCTGTAACAGACGATATTCCTGTCTTTCAAAATAGTGCAAGGTAACATTTTCACTCTTTAAAGCAAACAACTAGGTACCACCAGCCTTACAAGCAGATTTCCTCATATTTTCCCATGTGGGATTACCGGGCAGTTATTATCCGCAATCTCAAGAGCATATACACTGAGGAGGTTTGAACTGAAGGTGAAGAACCTTAGTGCTCCCACATTAGCCAACACCTCTGCTTGCAGAATGAGGCTTTTTCATAACAAGCATGGCTCTGCACAAGCAAGACAAGAAATGCTACCGTAGTGCTTCCAGACCAAGCTCTCACGAACACAGGTTTGCTCCTGGCTCCTCTAAAGCCCACCACGTCTGGAGGCTGCCAGGCCTGGCTGCACAGCACAGCAGCTGCTCTGCTCTGCCCAGTGCAATATTGATTTTTACAAGCAGCTCTGTAAATATCAATATATTTATACTTGAAGCAGGCGAAAAGCAGCGCAGTGAGCTGTTCCCTGCCAGCCAAACACGGGTCAGGCTGCAGAGAGCCAACGCGAGTTTAATGAGGAAGTAACACAGACAGGAAGAAAAAGAGCTTGGAAAGAGAAAATAAGCCTGGAAGGATGAGACGAGAGCTCCAGTGAAATAGAGGAAGGGTAGGCAGAGAAACTGCAAACAAGCTCTGGGGGCATGCCAAGCCTGAGAGAGAGAGAAGTAAGATAGGAAAAGCAGAAAAGACAACTGTAGTAATGGCGAGAGCACCACCGGGCTGGGGAAGGAGGCTGTAACTAAAGCCTACTTGTCTGTTTGTGGCAAAGTCCATAGGTTGGTTTCATTAACAAATCACAGAATCATAGAGTGGTTTGTATTGGAAGGGACCTTAAAGCTCCTCCAGCTCCAACCCCTGCCACGGGCAGGGACACCTTCCGCTAGAGCAGGTTGCTCCAAGCCCCTGTGTCCAAAGTTTTGTCATTTTGTAGGATTTTTAATAGAAGGAATTGAACTTGTGGGTTTTTTATTTCATAGTTGCCCTTTGTTTCAATAGACATGGAGTCACTGTCTTCCTATTCCTGGCCAAGATGTAGGAGGTCTGGCCAATGTCTCACTGTAAAAAGCGTACATTAAACAGGATGGTTCAGGAAAGGAGCTGAAGCTTGTGGTGGGCTCACTTTGTGGTAGGTTGGGTTGGCCAAGTGGGTTGGTCAAGCTGGCAGGGAGGGTCAAGAGGTCCCAAGGACCTTTCCCAGCCAGGAAGGTGCATCAGCATGCCCATGACACACCAGCCTCAAACGTGCCCCTGCAGACCAGACTTGTCACACACTGTGTGGATGGTTCCTCTCCTCAGTTAGAGGTCATGAAACCAAAGAGGGGACCAAACCAGCCCTGTTGGCACGTTTAATGAGAGGAAGCCACATGGAGGAGGTGAATGGCAAGATCTGTGAATAGTTTTAGTGTTTTCTCTCATGTTACTACTTTGTTGTACTTCAGTAATTCCTTTATGTGTGGTTATAACAGAAAGCTATAGACAAAACCCCATTTATTAGTATTTTCTGATGCCAAACACTAGCAAAATTAGCAGCTATTGCACAGCTGAATGGAGGGAGGTATGAAGCACAATATACTCCCTGTGTGCTTTTCATTTGCTTTATGTTTTTAGGTAGGTTGCTCATTAAATTTTTCATGAACAAGTCATTCAGATGGAAAAAGCTGGGGAATGCCAAAATCCGAATTTTCCGATGATATTTTATGAAGCCACAGAATGAAACAGATCCTCTCCGAGGGACTGCTCTTCTTATGGAGAAACTAAGTCAAAGAACAGAACCAGATCTACCTGCTGCCAGCCTTACTGTCGTTCTGAGTGAGGCACAGAGTTTACACCCGACTGGAAGTAAACTGCCAGGAATGGGAATCCTGTTTTCCAAAGTCCCACAAGTTGCTGAACTCCAGCCATAGAAAGAGAAGCTTCTGGTTGTCCCCGCAGCAGCCCCTCTGCAAGGCTGCGCACCCGAGCACTGGCCCAGAGCCACCTCTCCCCACCCAACCCCACCGAAGCAATGGAAGAACCTGTCTGAAGACGCACCTTGGGCACGTCACCAGCGTGAACTTCATGGTCCTCATGAAGCTGCTGAAGCAGAAAGTTTGAGCAAAGCCCATCAGCCTCCCACGAGGCTGCTGCAGGAGCAGTGGCTTCACAGGCTCTTCATGATGCTTTTTGACCATCTCTGCTGTTTTTCCTCAACCCACAGCGCACGTGGGCTTCTGTGAGAGCAGGAGCTCCCCAACCTGCTGCTTGACACGCTCAGGCTGGATAGTGAGTTATCCCTTACAACGTCATGCCTCCAAAAGCAACAAAAACAACAGAATTAAGCTGGGTTTCATTTCACAGCCTTATTTTTCCCTCCTGTTTCCTGCACTATGAAACAGGGTTTACGTAAATGAAAAACTGATGTTTTTCCAGTTAAGCTCCAAACTATTCCTCATGTATCCTTGGTACAACCACCCATTTGCAACTGCTCCAGGAGCACCCTTTGAGCATCCCCTCACCCACATACTGACTCTGTATCTTTTCTAATTTCCTTTTAGACTAATTTTTAATGTGCCAAAAATGAAGGGACTTCAGAGCTCTAAAGTAAAAATCCAACAGTTCCAATGTGAACTAATCAACACTCTTACAGAGAAACCCTCCTTCGACCAGGTGCCATTATTATATCTGCCATTAAAAATGACATTAACTAATTTCAACCTTTTTCTGCCTACCTCACACGTATGTGAAATAAAATATTTAACCGCATTCAGTGCCTGAAAGGGGTAAATTCAGCTGTGGAACCGAATGGGTTCCCATTTTCTTAATGCTTTTTGGCACTTGCTGCTGTCCACTTACATTAGTCTGTGAAAATGTTTCTCGCTTTATCAGCCCCTAAGTATGTGCCAAACCAAATGTGAATTTATAACTCTCAGTAAATAAGGCCTTCACATAAAGTCCCTCAATTACTATAAAGATGTAATAGACAAGGTTCATACATTTTAAATGCCTATAATCGTAACAGTGCACCCCAAAATGTGATATATGTTCCATCAGGAGGAAAACTGAAAAGACATAACCTTAATAGCTTGTGTTTTCCTGTGCTCCATATGATTTTGACAGAGGAAAGCAGAGGACATTTCAGACACATTATGCATTTTGACATTAAGTAACTAGCAATTAGCTAAAGCACATAATTGCATCTTAATGCAGCAACGGGGGAAATGACAAAGAAGACTGTGGAGAAGTGTTAGAAAACTGGGGGTTGGTGATAGCTCAAACAAAAACAAAAGGGGAGGGGAGGGAGGAGGAGAAAAAACCCCAAGACACTGAAATCACTCACACCAGGCTAAAACCAGCAGCAGGTAAGATGCCCACCGCCTGTATCCTGATTTAGCCAGAACTTCCCCGTGTCCTTACAGATGGCCCGCAAAATCCATGTACGCACAGTTCCTACACCACCAGCACCACGCAGAAGATCACTGAGCTAAGAAAAAGCAGCTATCTCTAACAGCTCTTCGTTGTACACAGCTTGTTCAGAGAATCTGCCTCACAGGCGCTGTTGTCACGGGTGTCCTCAGCAAGGGCTGAAGAGCTGGTTTGAAGAAAGAGGCACGTAATGCAAGTCAGCTTTGGAAGATGTGGTGCACTGAGATCCTGGGGTCCAGAGCTAGGTGAGGTCCAGGGAAACATGAAATAGCACCTGGGCAGCTTGTGTGGCTTCCAGTGAGGACTACAAGTTCAGGTGAGATGCATCCAGCCCATGTAGGGAGCAGAGATCTGCATCTGCTGCCAAATGAGGGAACAAATGCCAATTTGACATGGTTTAGAAACCTGGAGAGGGGCTTTGGACAGGGGCCTGTAGGGACAGGCCAAGGGGAATGGCTTGAACCTGCCAGAGGGGAGACTGAGATGAGCTCTGGGGCAGAAGCTCTTCCCTGTGAGGGTGCTGAGGCGCTGGCACAGGGTGCCCAGAGAAGCTGTGGCTGCCCCATCCCTGGCAGTGTTCAAGGCCAGGTTGGACACAGGGGCTTGGAGCAACCTGCTCTAGTGGAAGGTGTCCCTGCCCGGGGCAGGGGTTGGGGCTGGAGGAGCTTTAAGGTCCCTTCCAACCCAAACTGTTCTAAGACTCTCCAGTGTGATTAGCCCTGGCAGCCAAGTATTAATTTCAGTCATACAAAACATGTTTTCTCCCACATCACGTCTTCTGAGCAATGGAGAGACACCTCATCGTGGATGAACAACAAGTGGCACCTCAGCTGGCCAATCCACTCATCCCCAGGGGTGATGATACGAATAAATACGGAAGCACGCAGGACTGGTCTCTAATTATGGAATTGCATCCAGCTGCAGCTGGCAGAAGCATGTTTTTCATGTTCTAATAATCAAGAGGCTGGTCACTGTCCGGTTTGACAGCCGGAGCCGCTCAAAGTCATCAGTAACCTTGTCTCTTTGACAGGCAGCCTCCTGCAATCTGCTCCGCTCCTCCTCGCGGGCTGCTCAGCTTATCTTATCTTCTAGCATGTGCAGAGAGCCACGATCATTGCACCAGCCCTTCAGCAGTGAATGCCAATTCACTTCTGCTCAGGGAGTCTTTACAACCCCTAAAGCTCTCTTGTAAGGGGTCTGGGATCCGAGAGAGCTGCCATGCCAGTGCCACCCTTCACAGCTTTCCCACAAAGATGCAGTTGTTTGGAATGCACCCTCGGGAAGGGCTTCCTGCAAGGTCACTGGGCTGGCATCTGCCCCGCTGTGACTTCTGCACAGAAGGAATCTCCTAGCTAATTCTCCCCTCTGGTTCTTTGCCCTTCGATCCTCTGAGGATTCATCTTTGATGAGGGTGAGGGGCATCCAGTACAGATGGTTTAGCATGATACAACTCCAAATTTGGAACAGCAATTAGGATAAGTCTTTCCTAAGTAGACTAAAAGCAGTTAGATAAACCAATGGAAGGTGCATCACTCGTCTGATTTTAAAAGGAAAGCAAAGCAGGTAAAGAGGTGCAATTTTCTACCAGCAAATTCTGCCACATCACAAACCACCTTTAGGTGATCTGGATCCACTCAGCAAACACCAGACCTGGCTTAGCAGATGCTGAGGAGAATTCAGATGCCACCAAGAAGAACAGGATGAGAAGTAAGAGGAAGAAGGAAGGAAATACCGGTGTGTGCAGCACCTCTGTGAGGACTGCACAGTGCCAGGCAGGTGCAAGGCAGCACAAGAAGGAGGGAGGGTGTTCACAGGGAAGGGGAGAGGGAGGGAATACACAAGATACAAAAAACACCCATGGCCCTTTCTGGGCTCCTTAAACAGAAGTGCTGCTCAGCAGGGGAATGGGAGGGTGATGATCCAGGAGCAGCACTTCCTTAGAGCATGGGGAAAATTAGCAGAAGGATAATGAAGATAAACCAGGGACGTGTCAGGCAGGATTTCATGGAAAGCAGAAGGCCAGTGGGGCTGCCTCTCCTCCTCCAGATGCTAACTATTAGGCAGTGATGTGGTACTCAGAAAGGGACGTTTGCATGGATGTTACTTCTCTTTTACAATCAATACAGAATACCCTACCCAGTTCCACTCACCAGCTGACTGCAGAGATGCAGAAGGAATAGGAGGTGGGGAAGCAGAAAACTTAAACCCCCCCATGGAAACATAAAGATTCAAGGCTCTGGCATAGTTTCCTTTACGAGGGATAGTGGAGGCAGCTCAAGGTGGCATTTACAACAACGGGGGGGGCACGGGCACGCTGAACATCCACCAGCACCACTTCTCACCACGCTGGCGTTGTTATCAATAACCTGAAGTACAGCATTTGCCTCGCAGAGAGGTCAGCAGCTTGCAAAGGGCTGCGAGCCACCATGTCTGCCTTTAGGAGGGAGAGATGGAGGCAGCCTCTGAGCAGCTACACTGAGGTGTCCGACCTACAGGTCACTGCCTTGGTCAACACCACAAACTGCAGAACAGGCTTCATGGAAGTTCTGAGCTCTTCGCTTGAAAGCTTCAAAAGTCGACGTGTGCCCGGGGGCAGTTCATCCCTTTCTTACAATGCTCCATGTGAAAGTATGAATTGCAATAATGTATTATTCTGTACACTGGGGCTGTTAGGGTTTACTGGATGCTATGGGTTTACATACCAGTCCACCTTCCTGTCCCTCACCGGTGGCAGAACAGAGGCACAAAGACTTGCCCACAGCAAATGGGTAATTGTAGCATGAGCACAGACTGGCCTCTCCTTCCACTGCACTTCACTTCAACACAGACCTCTCCATTCTCTGGGCTGTTTTCAAATCTCAGTCAGCAAAAGCAGTAATTGCAGGGCGGGGATAGTGTGTGCGTGAGTCAGAGGCAATGGGGTAAACTTGCTCAGGGCCATTAATTCCAAAATGAACAGCTAAGCAATTTTTCAGTCAACACTCAGGACACTTGAGCACCTCCAGAGGGTAAGAAGTGACAGAGATCAATTTTATTCTGCATAAAACTCTTATTAACCAATTGAAGTGAGTTCCCATCACCAGTGCACTCATAGTTCTTAATCTTAGGAGCTAATCTTGCTTGTGACTGGAATCTTGTGACATAAAATAACACCTCACAGTAAGGTCTGCACAAAGCTACCAAAACATTTTGAGCCCTAAAATACACACCCCAGCACAAAGTATATGTTCATGGGTACATATTATTAGCAATGCAAGAGGATTTTATACTGAAATTCTAATAATGGACAGGTTTTCAGGTGATATCCCGTTGGTTACATGGCATTGCACATAATGAAGCAAAACCTGATCTTCTGGAAAGCTTCCAGAGCTGCACTACACTCCATCGGGGTGCTTGCTGTACTCAGCATGATATTTATTGTCACATGAACTGCTTCATTGTTATTAGGACACATCTGAACAACTCTAACTTGCTAAATCTGACAATGACAGACCCGTCACCATCGCTTCTAATGTAAATCTGACCACATCAACTTCATTGCCTCAAAAGGACCATGTACTCCGATGTCTGGAAGGGTGAGTCTGCATTCCTGTGTGTATTAGCATAATTCAACTGGTTCTGCCTTTAGGGCAGCCAATCAGACTGTGCAAACATGGTTGCTCGTGGAGTTCTGGAGGTGATTTCCCACTTGAGAGCTACAGTGGAACAATTCAACCCTGCTTTACTACCAAAGGAGTCAAGTAAGAAACATGAAGTCCATCGTCTTCCA